AAGTACGACCTTCGAAAATTTCACGCAATACGACCTCACGCTACTCAAACGCCCGCAATACACACATCGTTTGCAATTTTACTCGTTACTACAAACGAAAGAAACAAAATATTTCAGGTTTAGCGATTCAAATAATCGGTGCAATTAACATCAACACTTTTCAATATGAAACAGTCGATTTTTCAAACACTTTCCAGAATTCTCGCCTACAAAAAATGTATCGAATAAGTCCAAGAAATATTTTTCCTCTCAATTGTTCCGGAATGGTAAATCACAGGCAAACTGTCGTGGTGATTAATTAATGACACACCATCCTACCTACGCCCGACCGCCTCGTGCAACATTTATTGGACACTTTTCAAACATGAAACGGGCGATCAATATCCGTCGGGGGTCAACGTAATATCGCGTGTAGCGGCTCTAGCTGCCCTCCGAAATTCGCATATGGCGCACGGGGGGATGGGGGTGAAAGATATTAAAATGTATTCGATGGGCCAGGGCAGGGCGAGGGGCGAGGGTGAACGAATAAAACTTATTCGACTTGCGTTTATTGTGTCACGGGGATGCGGTGTATAGAAACGACAGTCAACATTCGTAAACTACTATCTTTCGCCAGATGAGTTCGCGTGCCATCTGTTAATCCATCGGTGTAAAAAATTTCTGCAGGGACAAATGCTTTTACGAATGCTTTTCGCGCAACGAGACCGAGAAACCGTGTTCGACAAGAGACCGACGCGCCAGCCGAATTACATACATAAATACTCTCAGTCGGTTCATTATTATTGGACACCAGACGCTATTTGGGGCGAAATAGCAGATCGTTTGGCTGAGATCCAGATTCCACGGCAGACTGCGCTAATTCTCCTAGTCGATTCGTTTTTAATTGTTCGATCAAGTCATTAGCTACTCTTTATGCTTCAGATAATGTGGTTAATAGGATATTATAGTATTAAATGAAACGACTCGTAATAAATACATAATAAATTATTTGGTGTTGTTACTGATTCTTTTTGATCAAGAATAAAGGCTATTTGCGCACGCGTCAAACGTACATTGAATTTATTTAGAAAGAAGTGCACGATACGGTTTCGTATGGTATGCCACGCACTGCACGCATTGAAATCACTCGTAAATGATTCTACGCGTGGCGGTTGCAGTAACTGGGCCAGGCCATAGCTCTGCTCTGAATCGAGATAACGAAAAATCGTGGAGAAAAATTTGATATGGTTTAGTGACCTTTATTATCCTACTAGATCTCATTTTTTGCTTCATGAATTTTAAGTACATATTATACCCTCTTTTATTAGTATTCTAATACAAATACAACCTACCGTGTAACGTACAGTAGCCTCGATATTGAGATACTTAAACTTTTTGTACAGCATCTCGTGGCTTCCTGTCAGGCGTATCAGTACGCATGCGAATAAAAATAGGTTAGAAGGACCAGTTTCTAGGCCGCTGGGAAAGAGACTGGCGTGCCAGAGCAAATCAACTCCGAAGGAACAATGCTTAATTAGCGTTTTAAACGTCAATCGAGCAGTGATCCATAAACGTGCCGGGAGAAAGGTAATTAAGATGGATGAAAACTGCGAATTTCGACGCCTCGAGGAGAGAAGTCGGCGGTCTTCGTGGCGAAATTGAAGTCTTTGTGCTTCCGGTCACGTTTTAAGGTGACTTTCCAACCCCCCGAGGCCTCGCGTTCTCATACATCTGGTCCACGCCCACGAAAAGACTATGGATTATTCTAAACTCGCGACTCGCTGGGTTAGGTTCCGAAATTCTCGTGGCATCCACGCCGCTCGTGACACGAATATTTAATCGTCGACACAATGTGTAGCGAATCATTCGTCATCAAATCGTATCTTCGAGCGTAGAATCTTTCGCGACAGCGTATTCGTCACACGCGCGTAGGACGATTGCATCGAGCACTGGTATTTCGAGTTTAGCTAGTTCCGTTGACGATCGTTTCGCAGATGGATATTGATAAATATTAATAACTCGAGCTGTCGGCTATTTGTCGGGATGAAAATTCAACTTGAAGCATTAATCTCCAGCAATGATTGTCGAAATTATATAGAAACAACGTTTATTCGGTTGGACAGTGCATTCGATAGGTTCTATCATTCGTTCCAAAAGAACAGATCCAAATTGTTCGCATATTTATTGGCAGAGATAACAATACTAGATAACTACACTTTTATAATCTAGCCATTGGAAAATTGGATTTCTCCTAAATTGCCTGTGTGGTACGTGAAAGTTAACGAGACTTAATAAGGATGAACATCCAATCTGTCCATTATTGATCCTAAAAATAAAGATGAAAGACACGTTAAATATGTGCAATATCAGAACGTACAATTATGTAATTTATACGTCGCGAATCTTAAAAATGTACGTCGGACTCTCTCCAAAATTAAGCAAAGTGTCCTAATAGGATATTCTTAAAATCATATGAAAATCTTTTTATAAAGTTTCACACTCGTTCTTTATAATTAAAGGAACAAATATAAATCTGTGCTCCTGTACGTTTTAATTAATCAACATTCATTTCCAATTAAACGTATACTCAAAATACTTGTAACGGGTGAAATTAAAATACGCAAATATATTTTCTGTCTTTATCGAGAAGCGTGTGTTTGTCGTTCAGAAATAAACGTGGCACGTTTCGGTTCGTCTGTTATTCCTTCCATTATAAACAGCGATTTTAACGATAATCGTATAATATCTGTACTCGAAACAGGTTCACGCGTACGAGGATCTTTTAAGAGAGGATATGCCTGTATTATTTGCAATAAAGCGCCGTTTACGGCGCGCAAACTATTCGAACCATATGATCATTTAACTTTCCCGCTTTCACGGACACATACCAGCGTGTCCGTTGCGGGATGCAAGGCACGACAGATTCACGGGAATATTCTCTAAGTGAATTTATAGGCGTGCGTCGCTGGCATACGAATACAGCACAGATTCGCCGGCGAGGCACTTGTCACGAACTTAATATCCCCCATCCTCCCCTGTTTGAAAATGAAATTTCAATGCGACTGAGGCTTCAATCCGTGAATACGTCTCTCTAGCAACCACCTTGAGATTATACGGAACAATCTCTGGTACCAAAGGTCTGGCTGAATTTCATCAGACTCTCTTCGTGCTGTCGGGGAACAGGATCAAACGAAATACCAAGTTAAAATTCATGGCGCCCGGTATCGCTCGATAACAGTGTTTAAAATCGCTAATTTCCATGGATATTGAGAAGTCGAGTATTCACGAGACACCGTAAAGTATTCCTGTGATTTTATTTCTGAGAGAATCTGTGCGATCATTGGACTAAAATTATTATTAGATGGTTGCCCCTTGTAGTTTCTAAATTTTTCTGACACATATTTGGCATCAGTAAATAATTTAAAAATTGTTTCAAACGTGTTTAAAGGAGAACTGAGTTTCTGGTGCATCTTCAACAATTAATAACTTAATTCGATCGCTACTGATCCTCGTTTTAGATTGCCCACTTGCAGTCAAACATCTTGTATAGTAGCTTATATACCGTTTATAAATATTCCTGCATGGTTGTCGTAAATGGGAACGCGAACTAACCTGTTCCGGCGAGCGTGGCTTAAATATTACGTTAGACGGCCAGAGAACGTTAAACATGTGTTCGTTAATGAAATACTTTGTTTGTAGCCGGGACATGCATGGAAACCCAAACCGTCTCGGTCGAAGCTAGAAAGGCAGTCGCTTGAATGTCGCCAGTTCCTGGCAGCCAACTTACTATTACGGTTTCATTCTGCCGAGCGAATATGCAGGGTGAATTTCAATGAACGCGAGAACTTTGAAACACCAATAAGGCCATCGTATCTACGATCTTAACCTTACGTTTGCATAATCGAGGAAATCTTGGTTCACTCGTGCTTTCAACGATTTTTCTCGGCTGCCTCGAAACGGCTCGTTTCGTATCCGTCGATCGATAGCCATTTTTAAAAGGTTAGACTCCGATGGAAATAATCGGTCTAGCCATCTAAATGGCTCAATCGATAGATCTGGGCTTGAATTTCGATCGATGCTTCATCTCCATAAAACGTTGCTTCAAAATCTTAGATTATTCCAAATTAATCCAGCTACGATTTTATCGATGACCTGGATGTCTGAATTGGTAGATTATCGGACGCAGGAAGCTTATAGATAGCAAATCTGATCGATCTTTCGCGTCTAGAAGATGGTTGACGAGATAAAATAATTTCCTAGCGAATTCTGTCTGAAGCTCAGGGCGTCTGGTGTTGGGAAGATGGATCTACATGTGGGAACCGATAGGCAACAAGTTGCAGGAGTAGAAACTGAGAAAAAGTCTCTATCAGAATACTGATGCGGACATAATCACCGTGGATTGATTCTTTTACTCCGTACAACTTCGTAGACATTTATTCGCTCTGAGCCTTGCAAGTTTCCATAACCAGTATACTTCAGGAATTAAGTGAAACTCCTTAATGTGACTCACATTACTTGCTACGGTAAACTCTCGAGTATTTAACATGCTTTTTCCTCATACATACTCCACGGTTATACTCATTCAGAATATAAATAATATAATTAATCTTTATTCAAATTATAATTTCTCTTGTTAAATATTATAAAAGTTTCAAACGATACCCGAAACATCGAAATGAATAAATTCACGTCAGAGTGTGCCAATTCTCTTGCAACCATTAAGGACTTTTTACTTATCCCTGAAGTATACTATAGTCAACGCGTTGACTGTCATGGTGGGCATTAATGGCCGGTGCTCGAAGCTTACAACGTTTCTTCCAAACACTTATAATAAATGAACCCTAATTTAAAACAACGTATATGTCGTTAAGGACGCCATAAAATGACAACTACACCGATCTATTCGATGTATCTCTTCTGCACATTAAAATTTGAGCAACCCTAAACATCCCCGGACGCGTGATAAGTTTCATGTTTGTCGAGCGAAGGTAATTACAATTATTTTATGGTTTTCCTTGCAGGCGACATCGAGGATTGCTTGGTCGCCCCGGTGGCTCAGGGGCAATTCACGCCGCTGCCGGAAGCCCTTTGTTGGGCCATCCTGGAGTTGACGTCCCAGAGGCAAGCAGCGACTTTGGACACGCTCAGATCCGCTCTGAGGAACGCGTTCCCAGCCATGCAGAGACCGAACCGCGAGCTGGTTTACGACGCCCTCGCGAAATTGATGCAAGAACGGAAGATATATCACACGTCGCAGGGCTATTTCGTCGTTACGCCGGAGACCAGGAGGCTCAGGCGCGATTCCAGCAACTCCAGGAGATGTTCCAGAGAGGTCAGCGGATCCAGAGGTCAGGGCAGCATGCTGATGTCCAACGACGAAGCCATGGCCCTGGTGCATGGCGAAATGCTCACGCTCAGGGACGGCGATGTCACGCATCAAGCTGTGCAGACGAATCTGGCAGACGTCATCTGCGGAGGTGAGGAACCTAAATTTCCAGATAATGTTCCCTTTTTTATTCAATTATTGAGAAATAGAGTCAGAGTAAAATAAAGAATTAGACATAAGAATTGACGCTTAAAGAGTAAGAGTCAAGAATTCTAGGGACCATTAAATACAAAATAAGAATGCAATAAACAGGAAACTCGTTCTTTCACTCCCTATAGCCCATCATTTTTTAGTATCATCAGCAGTTTTGAAGATATTCGAGTAGGTCGACCTATACCCATTATTTTTATTTTTTTCCACGATAATTGCTTTTGATACTCCGCATTATTAAAGGATTAGTGCCCCGAGCAAGCAATAGGCTCGCGATAAAAAGGTCAAGCGAGTCGCGTGATTGATATGCCTGGTTTATAGGAACAAATTACACGTTGCGACTCGTAGATTATGTGCTCGCCGTGAATACAAATGACAAAAAATTGTAGCCTCGTCGCGAGCATTGTTCGTGCACTAATTTTCGGTCACTGTACACAAAATTCAAAACGATTCTTTCTGCTTCTCTTTGTTAGGAAAATTTAAAATCAATTCTTCAATCTATTAATAGGAATTCGTTTTTTATTTTTCTCTGGCAACTGTGGTTGTCAAACAATCAATGTATTAATAAGAAAACGTTACACTGAATTTGACTCATTGTCAGTGATAAATGCATAACCTACCTTGTGTGAATCAAGATACTTACGAAGCATAAGTATGAACTTAACTGAGCAGTCTATCTCGCAAAAAGGAACGAGGAGGCCTTAAACGTTTCACAGGTATAACAGGTTTTGTAATAACATAGTATCTCGCGAAATTAGCCTTTATTTATCAACCGTATTCGATGCGTTGATTGCTCATTTTGATACAAAGTCCAACACGAACACGTTCTCTCGCTATTTCATATTGCTGACCTGTACAATTTTTTAAAAAAACAAATTTTAGAGATCAAAGAGCTCAGGACCTTCTTTTGCAGAAGCATATTCGAGCAGATGGAAATTATTTCGATTAATAAAACTTTCTTTTCTAAAAGTGGTTTGAATTTTTCTTCGTGAAACCATTCCTCATGCACGAACCCGATAGAGGTATAGACTTCTTTTCGTCCCGAATCTGAATCAATGCATTCGTCGCGTATGTCGTAAAAGTGTGGCCAGGAAACAAAGTTCGAAGCTGACCGGTCGATGCTGGGAAACTCGTTCGGCACGTGTTCGGGGATCGTTCCGTGTGCCCGTAGAGGAGTTCACTAGCTGCACCTCGCCCGGGACCTTTTTCTCTTGAACTCGATGGACGAGTCCGGTACGTTTATGTTGTTGTCGTCCTTGGCAGCCACGCAGCTCGCGCCGGAAGACCGTGCATTCCTACGGCGGATCGGATCGAAAAATTGTCGCGATTCGATTTAAATTGCGCTACCTTATCTCGGTATTTAGAGTGGCTGTCGTATCCCGGGCTCGAATTTACGTCCCTTCCGCTACGCGCGACTCGAAATTAGAAATTCAAATGCCGGTGGGAGGGAGGGTGAACACGTATCATTCCCTATACAAAGAAAACTCGACATTTTCTTTATCGAGCATCCTGGAACCGAGTATGGTCAACGCGATTATATAGCATTGTACGATAATACGTTTCCATATACTGCTATACGGTATCGGCGCACCCAGAAACCCAGGGTTGTGCAACTAAAACTTAACAAAGACGAATAAGTCACGGCGCTTTTCGACGCTGTTCAACATTTATTCGACAAGATAGAGAAATTTATTTAACATCCGTACGTGGGGGATACGATTTTCGGTTCTCTGTTCTAAGCATCTCTGCTACTTAATTTCATTGTTTAAATTGGCATCGTTATAGACATTTCGGTACGCTTGGATTATGTATTTTTTTTTTAATTGGTCTTCCCAAAGGCTCTGTATTATATCACACGTTATAAGGATGCTAGTTTCTTCAAATTAAATAAATATTATTTCAATTGACCCTCGTCCAACAGATTCTGGTTTCATTGTGACCCAGAGGAACTATTCATTATAGAACAATAATAGGACACAAACTTGCAAAAGTATACGATGATAATAAATAAAGAATTCACAAACATAGTAAATAAATATTTGCAATAAATTTTTGTCAGCACATGTTAACTAACCTGAATACATCCTTAGTGATATGGTTACAGTGAATACTGTTTTTTAATTTATCAAAATTCTAAATATATTTACATCAGTTACCAGCAATATTGTACCCTATTTGGGAATATAGTAACGTGGTTTTACTTGTAATCTTTGATGTCTATTTTATAGATATTAAAACCTAATTGCAAATTTTTTCCATACACCTAGCAGCTTACGATATATTCTTGCATCATTGTAACTGCACATAAACTTACCCACATTAAAAACAACTCATAATGCTCCAGATTACTCTGTACAGTGAAACGTATCGCAATCAAGGAATTAAAGTTGAACCGTAAATCGTCCAGACGTCTAGAATCGCTGCGTCGGTCTCATCGGTTATCTATTATTCGAGTAATGTTTTATCCATCACCGAGCGTAACGTTGCGTGCAACGATGTTACATTGTCGGCCGGGCCATTGATCGGTACAGGTTCCCGTAGCATAGGTCGTTGCATGCGCGGCTTAAATGCACACGCTCGGTGGTCAAAAGTTTCGGAGCCGCGCAAACTGGAATTTTCTGGCGCATTGACACGGAAACACCTTCGGCACCTTGCACGGTTCGACTCTTACACACATCGGTACTTGTATGGGAGGACGTACACGCAAGCATCGGTACACATCGCGGAACGGAACAGACCGTGCCAACTCGGCGATCCCTGGAAAGCGTTTAGCACAGCCGATATATTAGCTATTGGTCACGACATTGTCTACCGTTACACACGCTGTCGGGATCACGTGGGGGGCCACGTATATAATCTTCCTACTTTTCTCTTACTCGGTTCTCGAGTGATTCTCACGCTGGTAACCCACTCGGTCGTCGCCACCGCCTCTGGCTGTGTACCGCGATGAAAATCAGGGACGAGGGCGTTCCACTTTTTGAGAACTCGATGGGAGCTCGCCACTCGCGAACCACGACGGGAATTAACCCGGAAATTCGAACGTCACATTCTTTTCGTCGCAAGATTTTCACTGTATCTGCGATCAGACTTGCTAGGAACAATCGCCAACCCCTTGGAAACTCAAAACATTCTCAACCCTTGCCAAAGTATTCAGCTAGTTCTTATTTTAGACAAGGTAGAACAAAATCTTCAGCCATGCTATTTTTTAGACGAATGATCCAAGTGGATGAGATTTATTAATAAACACAGCAAATTTGTGTTGCTGGGGGCTAAATCACAAGTCTCAACCCTTATCGTGGATGATTTGAAACTTCTCAGGATCAGTTGCAATTGATCGGAGGCTACTTGTATTCTACCACGAGGAGCTAGAATTTTCATCTCAATTCGACAGACTATGAACATAGTATCAGTGTAGTGCTATGTAACGTCAAGAATGGGGCTATTTGTCTTCAAACTCGAACGTCTTGACCATAGGGGAATAATTCACAAACCCATTCACAGACTTCCCTATTAACTATGTCAAATAACTCAACAGCTACGACTAATGATTTTGTTTTCGCTGTTCCAGGTAATCCCAATGATAAGGTTCTGTTCGCGAGATGTCGATCGATGCCCGGTCGTCTGGAGAGGCGACACTCGCTCCGGCTTTGGGGTTCAGCCAGACGCCTGCACAGAAGTGGAAGTTCGCGGTCCTTGCCACGGAGGCCGGAGAGAAGCGACACTTCGTCGAGCGCGGAGTATGCGAGCACCGACAGCGCGCCTCATAGCCCAACCAGTGAGTCGAGTCGGGGAAGGGATTGTTTTGGTGATGGGTGATCGCTTGAACACAGCTTTCCTTTCGAAGCTGACGCTCCCACACGAATCATTTTCGTTAAACATTCAGTTTCTGCACAGTGTAGGTGATGGGCGCTCGAAAATGCGTATCACGTGTTCACAGGAATAAACATCGTGACGGAACAGGGCATCAAAAAAAAACTTGATACCAGAGTCACCATAGGCAGCAATAAGCTGCTCGAAAAATTACCTACTTTTTACCTAAAATTACCTTTTGTTTTGAATTTTATTTTGGTCTGTCGACAATTTGTTCGAAAATAAAATTTGTCTCCGTTCGGTGCACGTATAGGAAAGAAAACGCTTATCGATCGCTGCCGAAGAGGCACCAGCGTTACAACTTTCATTCCGATGCCGAATGTCTTTATCCGCGACAAGTAAATTATTTAACCGGGCTTTCACCGCCGTTTACTTCGTTGGCCATTGCAATAAAAACGGCGGCGGAAAGTTCTTTCGGTGCCTTGTTCCCGATCGAGGCTACGCAACGCCAAAAGAAACGTATCTGCAACTGCAACTGCAACTGTGGCTGTACCATCCAAATCGAAGCTTCTTAGTCACCCTTAGCTGGCAAGCCCTTCCTCGATCCCCGATCTCTTATAACGCAAAACGCAACATGGGTTGCATTTCTCTCATCTCAAGGTTTCTCCGGAATTTTTTCAGAGAAAATAGGTCTGCTCTCCAGGCTGTTCCGACGCAGTACACGAAGAAAGGGTGCACCGTTAATGGGCACGTTCAGCGCTCAGTATCCTCCTACCGAGTGGTTTAACCCGCGCGTCGTTCACCTACACAGCGTGGCCACTCAAACGAGAGCAGCCAGCCCTTCGGTGAGTTCAATCGAGACGGACGTTTTTCCATAAAAAAGCATACCTATGCTTTTTCGCCCAAACAGCGCCCCGGAAAATGAAAGCAAATGCCACGGGTTAACTCCTTGCCTTATACTCTGGTCGAATCGAGCATCAAAGTAGTTTACCACTAAACCCAAATCGATATCGTAGTTACTTCCGGAGAAAACAGTTATTTACGAAAAAATACTGGCTAGTAATTACGCAGACATTCCAAATTTAAGTTAATTTTTTATTAAACACACAATTTATAATCCAGTTTTATTACACATCAGTTTTATGATGAATAGGAATTGCTGAAATTTTGTTAGGTATATAACGTCAAAGTAAATTTCGAAATAAACATAGAAGATAGCAAAAATTATAGTAGTTGTTACGTTCATATGATAGGGGATGAAAAGCCCTTTAAAATGAGCGTTTATACGAGTCGATAGCGTAATTAGTTCCGGAGATAAGACAATTTTCATTTGAAGTCGAGCGTCAAAGTAAATGTCAAAATAAACATGGAAGATAGCAAAAATTATAGTAGACGATATGGTCATCGGATAGAGGATGAAAAGCCCTTTAAAATGAGCGTTTGTACGAGTCGATAGCTTTATTAGTTCCGGAGATATAGCGATTTTAATTTCAAGTCGATGCGGTGGCTAGTTTCGAAGATAGGGTTTGTTTACGTTTCGTAGTGCGCTCGCGCGAGTTCATTCATCTCGCACGCGTGACACTAGTAAACAGTGCGTAGTAAATTCTTGGAAATACTACGCCGGAACTAGGTCACTCGGTCACGACTCACGTGCGACAAAGAGGTCCAGCGCGACGCGTCAGACGGAGACAGAGATAGTCAAATTAAGAAAAATACCCCTTTACATAAATTACGATATCTCGAAAACGGGAAGTCGGATCGACAAAATTCAAAAGCCATTTTAAAGGGGAAGCCTTGCCGCTTCTAACAGTGCCTTAATAATTAATAAAACACTTGTAGTTTCGGAACTACATGTGTGTATAATATAACTATTCTTAATACGCGTTGTTAGACTGTCTACGACAGTGGAAACTGATGATTCTCTCCTTTCATTTTTGCTATATATGTATTTCCAATTTACATTACAGATGCTAATCAGTACTTTATACCAAATTTTAACCAGTTTCAATCCCAGACTACATATTTTTATCAGAAAACAAACAATAAGAAAAGAAGTGGATATTGAAAAATTCATATCTACGTTCACTATAAGAAAAATCGTGAAGTTAAACGGTGCTAAAATAACACTCTATGATAGAAATTGTAAACGAAATTTTAAAAACCATTATTTAACCGATGGCCTTAGGTTTAGTGTTAAATAAGTAAAAATTGCCAGTCAGGTCTTCAATAGCAATACTAGTCAGCGATCCATTCTAATGTAATAATACCAGCAGATATGAATAACAGATGCAATAAAGAAAAATTGTGCAGTACCATAAGGAGTTAACTCTTTCTGTCGCAAGGAGTAGCGACGGTGACCACTATGAAAGAACTTTTGGTGGCGAAACAAGTGGCCATCCCTCTTAACCGAGTAACGTTTTTAGATGATGGAGGGCCTGGACCAATCGCAGGCCAGTTTCCAAGTTTGGGACGACTCAAGCTCCGTGCGATCCGCCACACTGCCGAGGCGACATCGACGCCAAGCCAGCGGCGATTCCTCTAGTTTATTGGCGAACTCGACGCCCAGGAGTTCCAGACGACATCGATCACCGTGCTCGACCCTGCCCCGATCGAAGTGTTCCAGCCTGAGCAGATGCACGTCCAGAGCGTCCGTACTGCCGCCCAGCACCAACCAGGAATCGTATCAAGGCCGGAATCAGACGCAAAACGGCAAGAACTCGGCCAACTCGTCGCCCAGCAGAAGCGGCGGTAGCTCCGGCTCCGTTCGAACGACGAACGCCAGCCCCGCGAAAACGGCCACGCTGGGACGATCCAGTATGAGACAATCGAACGCCAGGCGACCGAGTCACGATTCCACCGGCAGCGTTACGAAATCGAACGGATCGCCGCAACACAAGGTACTTACACGAGTGTTCTGACAAATCCAATCCGACACGGATGATTCTAAACACCGATAAAAACAAACAAACGATTCGTTGTCTTCGTAGGTTTTGCAAAAGACGTCGTCCGGGCACTCGTCTCACTCCAGCGGCAAATCGATCTCCAGCAGCAAGCTGTCGTCGTCGCCGTTAAAAACGTCCACCCTGCCAGTGAAGTCGTCCCCGTTGAAGGTGGTGCAACAAGGATCCCTGACGCCGTTGCAGGAGGCGCAGAACTCGATCACGCTGCAGGTGTCCACGAATTTAACGCCGGTCAGCCCGTCGCAGGAACAGCGCGCGATTCAGAACAGCGTGACGCTTGCCTCGAACGCCACCAGCACGACCACCATATCCGGGTCCCCGGGCACGAAGATCTACGTGCAGCAGAACAACTCGCCCATGAGGTCCGTGATCACATTCGAGAACGGGACGGTGAAGACCAAAGTGGCTGACAAGGAGCCCGCGGACTGCAAGGAGAAGCAAGACCGGGAGCTGATCGGCGAGAAGGTGTACAAGTCCCGAATAGACGAGGAGAAGCTGTACAAGTCGAAGCTCGACGACGAGAAGCTGAACAAGTCGAGCAAGCTAGAGCGCCCGTCCTCGCTCTACGGTTCCAAAGAGTCGAAACCGAGCCAGCAGCAGTCCGAGTCCGACAAGGAGAACAAGCCCAAGGCCGAGGAGGAGCTGCCCAACAAACTGAAGCTGACGAACCGTCTGAACAACAGCCAGGCCCATCTGATTGACGGTTCGACGAACAACATAGACAAGAACTCTTTGGTCAACGAGCATCCCGCCACCACCTTGTCCAGCATGAAGAACACCAACGACGCCATGAACAATTCACGGAAGCTCAGTCTGTCGCTGTCGAAGGACGCTCTGAGTTACAGGAACCTCCTGCGTCCTGGTTCGAAGAACAACATCGCCTCGAATCCCCCGTCGCCCACCAAGTCGTTCGACGGTTTCGGTGGATCATTCAACAACGTCTACATAGAGAATCTCGAAGCTACGAAACAGCAGAGAGCACCGCAGGGTTCTGAACCGAATCTCGAGAAGACGGTCAGTCGAGGCGACCTTTACACGTATCCCAGTCTGAGCGACATGCAGGTACAGTTCACCAGCCTGGCGGCGCAGAAGATTCTCAAGGGCTGCCCGATCAACAGCGTGGACACGTTGGTCGAAGTCAACATGGCGGCCGCCGAGAAACCGAACAACTGCGACGTCACCGTTCACACCGACTTTGGACTCGTTTAAAGTTTTTCTCGTCGACGTTTCCCGCCCGTTTCGTACAGTGAGAGGTTGAACTTTAGCACGATGAACTTATCAGTACCGCTGGGACACGCGTCGAATAGCAACGGATGAACGCTGTCCTGCTTAAGCATATAGACAGCACTATGACAGTTACCAATTAATAAACATTCGTTTCGTTCTCACTTACACCGTGCTATCACCTGTTGCGTCGTGCTTGGCGTCCACTCAAGAATTTTACGACAGTCGCCATTCTGAACTCTCTGGCCCAATGTTTTGATGAGATCTTTAAAATTGGAAGAGGCGTGGTAGAAAATATATTTTAAAAACATTGAAGCGGTATCCTATATAAGAAAAGAATTATGGGCCTGCATAATACAGATTACAATTTTTGGGCTCGATAGAAACTTTTTAAGGTAAAACTTTCAAGTGGATACCTAGCACCAGGGTCGAAATCGCTTCCGTTCGAAAAGTATCGATAATCGTTCGAGGATTCTCGAGCACACTGTGCTTCCATTGATCATCTATATGCTTACGCGGCCGAACGTTCGATAGTATTTTGTATAAATAAAGGCAGCCATTCCACAGAAAGTATTCGTTAGCTTATTTCTAGTTGTTTAGAGCACATTCAAGAATCCGGTGAAACGCATTCGAGCAGTGACCAAATTTTATTCGCATGATGCTTTGACCACGAAGTACTTGTGTATGCCGCGTCTTCGTTGCATTCATCGTTCAATAGCCATTTTCGTTCAAACGCATTGCACGATTCGTTACGATATTTATACACTGCTCAGAACAATTAAGGGATAAGGTTTCTGAACAATTCGAGAGAGTAAAACAAATACCACGGACGATAGAGGTGCGTAGTCTAATTTACAGGGACTCGTGAATTTGTCGTTGTAATATAGTTTATTCTTTTCGCGTTTGGACCGTGATTATAGCAACAGTGTCGCAATTTTGAAACAGTGTTCGTTCGTCCGAAATGTTGCAACTCTTTTCGCGATTGGTACCGAAATCAATTTCTATTTTACTTTTAAGTAGTCCAAATCCTTTGTTCGATAGCCAGGATTCAGTTAATTTACAAGTCCCGTTTAATATAGGATAGAAAATGACAATACAATAGAGTACAAAAAAGATGAAGTTGGAAGAAATTTTCGTTTCTTGTGATCGACACTATGACACTGTGGGAGAATTATAACGCGACAGTAGTATTTCTAATTGGTTCCTCGTTATGCCTGAGATAAAATAAATAAAAAGCCACCTATTTAAAATCCGAGTTTGAGCGAAGAAATATTATTTGAAATAATATTTATTTATTTTAAATAGCGTTACTTCAAACATGGTTTGGTCTATTGACGATAACGCCATTCGAATCCTCCAATTACTTCTCAAATTACTTTTTTATCAACAATGAAGCGCGTCAGATGTCATCGTGTCTTCGCATTTACGTTTCAAATAATCGTAACCTAATCGACTATAAACGGGTACCACAGCGTCGTAACGTTTGCAGTTTTGCATCGCTTTACCGAGCTAAAGCGATTTGCTAAAGCAATACTTCGCGTACGACAGCTTCGAAAATTGCCTTACACGAGCGAGAGAGATTTGAGAGGAGAGATGAGAAATATTTTGCGCGAATCCAAATACTGCCAAACGTGGACTTAGAATAGAGAGCAGCGTAAGAAGAAGGGTCGAGTCTTCGAGGACGATGTTAAAAAAAACAAAGAAAAGAAAAGTGGTAATTAAACACGCACCATTTTTTCTACCTTCGTTGCTCGTCCCTCCGAGCACGAACGTTTATAAATAGGCGAGATTTTGTTTCGGTCGTTATGCCAAAGTAGAAGGGAAGCGTAGTGCAGTCAACCTTATGGTAGAATTTAGATATAGTCATTGACTACGCGTACACAAGGGATAACTACGATTTATGATTAAAACGTGCTACGACTATTATATTCGCGATGGACTTGAAAACGGACAACTTTTGCACAACGAAATTCCGTCGATCGATCACATTTTCCGTATAAATTTTCTACGCAATGTACGCGCCGTACATACGTCTGACGAGATCGTGCAGAAAGATCGCGAGATGCACGAAACGCTTACGTCCGTGCGTTTATCATGGCGCGAAACGATACGATTAACGACTTCTTCCTTTGATACACCGTCGCGGAATCACAGCGTCCAATACGTGCAACGTAGAGGTGAATATACCCTCTCCAGGAAAGAAGCGGTACCATTTTATAATTAGTGCAATGGTAAATCTAAGTGCCAAAACCGTTATTAGTACTTAAATCGCCTTAAAAAAAAACCGTTTGCAACGCGACCACGTGGCGTCGGACGCGGTAACGACGTCGCGGTGTAAACGTGTCTTCCGTTTAACGTTCGAATTACAATATTAACCTTAAACGTAAAATACGTAATAGTAAGGCGGCAAGTAACTGGGGCGCCGCTGTCGTGCCTGCTTTGTACATTTCATACATTGTATTGCCGATTAACCGATAGCAATTTCGATACAACTCTACTGTCTTCTAATTTTTACGAAAATGGAAGGACACGAGCCTTTTACGCCCTTATTTCTTATCAAAACTAACTTGTAGAGTACCATTGTGTAATCTTGATCTATTATAATTATAACAACGAAAGCGTATAATAATAATAATAAAAAGAAAGGAAAAAAGATACGCGTTGTCCAACCTGTTATCCTATCACTTTATTATTATCATTAATTCCGCGTTAATATAAGGGATGCATCTAAATTATGGGATCTACTTCAAAATCAATCGAATGTGCAATTATTTGCCTGTGCAAAAGATACTCGAAATAGCCATCCTCAACCCAAATACAAGTCTGCAGACATCCTATCAATTCCTAGTTTCTCAAGTGTTTTCATACAGGTAATGAGTGTTGTGTATTATGACAATAAAACTTGGAAAATAATTCACTAAAAAATTTTATTTTTTAAATTAAATAATCGTGAAACAAATCAGATAAATACAGTGGGTGCTCAAATCGTTATAATCCACTTTGAAGTTAGTTTTATCATCAGAATGGCCAGATGGAATTGTTACGATGAGAAATCTACAACGAGGCAACCATAGTACGGAAAATTAAAGACAAATTGATGAAAATCAGAGATATTTTTTAAAGCCTTGACCTCTTTGCAAGACATATATGATTCATAGTGCGAAACGCGGAACGAGTTAACTGTGTGCTGAACAATCCCATGATTTCCGGGATGTTTGGTACCTCCGTTACAGACGATCAATACGAATAACGAGGAATAATTATTCAAATAAATCATTTGAATAGCTCTTTCGGATTGGATAACTATCCAATTAAGTATTTATTCAAAGCTACTTAAATAATGCACAATTGAGACTTGCATGTGAAGTAGACAGTGTACTAGGTTCCCAAAATATATTTTACCGTCGTATATAGAAAGAAACCACAACCAAACAAATTTATTAAAAATCAAAAACGAATTTTTAAGAAAAATCGACGGGGTAGGTGTTAAAATTTTTCGGCGAAATTGAGAAGCTTCAAATCATTCTGGAAAAATTATTTCTGGTTGCGGGGGTCAATTACAATCATTTTTGGTGAATGGACATACCCCCGAAATCCTACGCATTTTCGAGAAAAAAATTCATGACCGAAAATATAATTTCAGGCCAAAAATGTCACTTCAAAATCTTTAAAACGTCATAACTTCTGAACGAATTGAAGGATTTTAATTTTTCAAAATGCAAAAGATGCGTATTTTGGCCAAGAATACGTAGGAATTCCAAAAATATTTGAAAAGTTGATCCTTGACCCCGAGAAATGAGAAAACCCCCATAAAAGTGGTCCAATTTTCAAACTATCATAACTCCTACAATAGTGAATATATTTCAATGAAACTTTTTTCTGAAGTAGAGCTCATGGGTACCTACAAAGAAGTACTGAACAACTTTTTCGTATTGCGTGAAACAAATTTATTAAAAATTGTTACAAAGCTCATGAATATATTATTTATTAGCAATTTATATTGAACTTAATTTATGTAATTATAGACACAGTGGACAATACAGGGGATTCAATAAAAATAAGTGTAACGTCAGGTAAATCTAGCGTTTTAGCTAGTATTTAAGGGGAGTATACCTTATTTCATTTTCGTTTAATACTTTATTTCACATTTTTTAAATACATTTCTTTCAAAAGTCCGTCTATTCCAGTGACAGAACCATCGATAAGGTGACTGCCTGCACTGTGAAATGGCGTGGTGCATGGTGCTGACCCCGTCCAGCGACGACGTGAAACGACGGAGGCTCATCGCCGGATTCGGAGACATGAATGCGTGGATCGCATACACATCGGATGAGAAGGGAATGGCCGCCGCTGCACGATCTATCCCCACCAAAAAGCTGAACACTTGAGCGTCCCTGGGGGCAGCTCAGGAGGAACAGTCATTATTGCGCCAGTATAACATTCGCTTCCAGTTCTCTTTCAACGAGCCATCGTGTTTTTCGAGCCACCGTACACGAGAGATCGCGAACGAACGGGACCCCGTAGTAGCTCGCGGAACGTCGGAAAGAACCGCGTGGCCGCCTCGTAAATACGCTGGCATCGCCACTGGTGTCTACGATACGATGCGACACATCTCGGGAAATAACGAAAATGTGACGTGAGATCGGTCGCGAGACAGCCTTGGCGAGAACGCGACACGTTTCGCAGACAGCACCGTCCAGTGTGGCACGCACACCTCCGAAAATGCCAGTGAGAAGGACCAATTTACACGCGTTCGCCAGTGCGCTTGTGTCGGTACTGTGCTGGGTCCTGGTGGCGCTTCGTGTCGGCGAGGTAAGTTTCCACAAGTGCACGCGAAATTCCGCGTTTCGAGCACCGTCACGCCGCGGTTTCCTGCGTAGATGCGTCCCGTAACGATTTCACTGACACCAGTCGACGCGCGCTTCGATTCACGAACGTTCCGCTCGTTTCTCGGACCCGAGCGATTATTTACGCGTCGTTTAACTTCGGAAATTAGTCGACAAATTTGTACATTTCCTTGCAACGCTCGCCAAGGCTAGAAACATTAATCGGACGTTCGCGAACGTCGTTCTTTTTATTACGACAGAAATCGCTACGTAGAAAAATGTTTGTAGGTCGACGGAACGGATCGTTTAAATTCTGAACGGGTTTTTAATTTTCGTCGAAGCCCGTGCGATGCTCCGCGATGCGAATAAGACGTTAATGCTCGATGACGTTGATCCAACGTAGCGAGGTATTAATTAGATGCCCGTGGTGTTCGACGTGCCCGCATCGCGGAGTAAGTAGATCATAGATACCACGCGTTGGTATGCAGCTTTAGCGGCGTACGGTTACTCGCGTTGCCGTTTATTCGTCACCGTATCGTTCGTCACGAGTTAAGATCTGCGCTCGTAAATATGTCCCCGCGGAACAGCGGGGCCGTGGAAAAATATCAAACAAAACCGCGACGAGTGTTTTCTGTCTGACAGAGATTACACGGGGCTCGCGTAGACGCGCGTTCGCCAATAATAAATCGCCGAGATCGGGCCGTGCGTCTCCAGCTGACTCATTCATCTAGCGCGTAAATACGCGCTCGTCGTTTCTAAAACGGTGCCCCCCACTCCCCCGGGGCCCGACAAATTTTATTCGTAAATTAAAGTAACATGTCCCAGTTGTTCATTCTATTTATCAAATCACGATTATTTTTTAGTCCTACAGAAATAATTATTTTGTTAGCCTCAGATATTTGTCGTCAAATTCAACACGTATTGTATCTTATCGTTTAGTAATAATGAATTTGATTTTCATTTATCTTGGTTGCCTCACCGAGATCATTTCCAAACCTCTGTTAATAGTTAAGAAAAGTATACACGGTCATATTTGTTAATTAAAATGATCCCCAGGGCGTCTATAATATAATTTCACAGAAAAAAACCACTGTTCTTGTTTAACCCCTTAACGCTCATATTTTTCGTGTCAACCAACAATGATCAGTTTTCGTTATTGGATTTGTTTCTAAAAATACGGTTTTTGTTAATTACAATGTTGTATCTAACGTATAATTTGAAGGAAAATTATCATCCCTTAAACCGTTGGATTAAACAAATATTATTTTTCAAAGCAGTCAGACTCAGGCATTAAGGGGTTAAATTGATGTTTGAATGATGGAAACTGTGGGCAAAGGCTAGTTCACGAAGGAGTCGAATGTTTTTATTCGTTGCTCCGTGAATAAAAGTCCGGGTCTGGCGATCGCCCACCGAGCTAGAGACCCGAACGCGTGGGTCGCAAGTCGACTACGTTTTACCGTGGAAATTTCGTCAGGCACGCGTTATTACGTAAATTACGAGACGCGAGAAAGAAGATCGGCACCGAACGGTACACGAACGGTCGTGGTTTAGCGAAATTGCCTTGTGGAAAAGAAGGAATTGACGTGGAATTTGCCTGATCCCTAGGTAATACGATGCTATAATCATGTCGAACTCATTTTTGCCCAGGGTCGTTTTGTGCTTTGCCACCGCGACGTGGGCTACGGATGGACAGTTATTTCACAATGATCAGAAATATTATAAACACCATTTTACAGTCATACCAACGCCAGTCGTTGCACTTGTAACGTTACAAGCGCATGTATTTACTATCGAACTGAATATAATAATTTTCACAATGGTATCGAAAATGTTATTTGCATTTGAAGTCTTGAATTTGAGTCTTGAAATAATAATATTTCTGCCTCGTAAGAAATAAATGTTAGAACCCAGACCTAAAAGTTACTCTGCTGAATGCACATGTCGACTGCGTATCTAGAACTATCATAGAATTCCGTGTTTCCCAATTGTTATTCGCTATTCTGTGATCAACTGGAGTTTATGATATAATTAACAATTTTTAATATTGAATTACCTAGTTTTCTTTTGGTCTCTTTCGAAGCATCGCTAGCTAATTTCCTACCAAATTATGATATTGTTCTACTTTCGTTTTTAACCGAAACTTGACCCTCAGGAAACGCTACTTCATTCTATTTGGTCCACTGGCGAGAACGACATTCCACGCTACTGTTATACAGTAATATCGGAAAGGAGTTACCGTAACGGGTCGTAAACTCGCCTTTCCACATTGTTCGCGGTCCGTTAAAAGTGTTGGCTCGTTGCAATAAAAATTCAGATAAACCGCGGCCAGCCTCGCCATTCCAGCGGCGCACAGTAGTCTCAAGAAAAATTCCTACATTACGAAAGTTGCATTTCTGCGTGCCGTTTGCTATTTTTTGATAGCCAATGAATGGAAGCATTTCGCCATGAAAATTAATGTGCACGATTTCGTTTAAACATTAACCATTGTGGGAGTAGGCTTCTCTCATATCGTTTCAAATATAGTTAAAATATAAAAAAAAGTGTTTCTTTTTACTGTTTTAAATAATTGTTTTATCCTGTATTATGGTAAATTAATTTTATAATAAAATAGCTTCTGTATACACTTGATTGAAACGCCATATGATTTCGATATCTCTCAGGTTTCTATGCATCATATATTTCCGATGCTCTGTCTAAATGTAATTAGATTAACGTGGCATTCAAACCGTCTCAACTCATAAATATTCCACCCACATGTTTAACAGGGACTTGTCACAGTTACTTATTACTGTCGGTCAGTATTCGAGGTCAGAAGTCTAAGTCAAGTTCCACTTAGCAAAGAAGCACGAGCGTCGTTAAGATAGTACGTATCCGTCCGTGGAAAATGTAAATTTTATTAAGCAAATACGCGTGACTTGCACACGATACCCTATAGATCAGGTCTGTTAAAATATCAGTTTGCAGTATCGATAGTAATGACGTGTAATTTTTAGTAAATACTGGTCGGATATTTTTTCCCGCAACTGCAGAAATTTTTAAGCCGCGCTTAAGGACTTTCACCGTCGTTGCAGCTCTAAACGCCATTTGAAGGGGAGAGAGTATGAAAATTCGCTGAGTTGTGTTCGTTGAGCAGCGGTCAGGATCGTTACGGGCTCGCCGAACGATCAATTAGCGAATTTCATTGCCAATTCATTGTTCGAAGAATAGCATTTTTATCGATGTCTTTTGCATTATTCTTTCGTGGTTTTGAATCCTCAATATAGTGCTATCAATTATGTAAAAATAAAATTTAATAACAGAATATTTTGAATGCACCATTTCACAACCATCGTCATAAATGGTATTTTCGACGAATTATAACGTTCTCGTACGTAGCTTTCAGTTTCTGTTTCCGAAACAAGTTCTATCGTTTTATTTTATTTAATTCCTTCCTCGCGGATCGGGTAGTAAAAATTGAAGTCGAATTCGTGGAAGACAGCTCGCAACGGTTTATTTGGTCCATCCTGTATAGATCCGAGCACTGTACAGCCGGCGGAATGCACGTTTTCAGCGGGAGAGCCGCGTCGTTCGTGCGGTGCTCTGTCGTCTGGTCCCAAACAGAGATGCCAGACGGGGCCCCAGGTGCACCGGGGACACCTCATTCCACCTTCTCACACAATGCCAGAGATCACGCGTACGTGAGCTCGTAGACTTTCGGACAGTCGACAAAGGCAAACTGACACATGCCCCCTTTTTCGATTCCCCGAAGCTGCCCAAAGTAATTTCGGACCGTCTCGTGGGAGTATACAGGACGTTCGGGCACCCCTGGGAAAAATTTTAATGGGAGATTCTAGAGGCCAAAATAAGACGAAAATCAAGAACACCAATTTGTTAATGAAGGCTTCGTTAAAATGTTATTACCGTTTAAACTTCCGCCAGTACTGAATTTTTTTCTCGAAAATGCGCAGGATTTCGGGGGTATGTCTAATCACCAAAAATAATTGTAATTGGCCCACCTAGCTAGAATTAATTTTTGTAGAAAGATTAAAAATTTTTTTTTTTCGTCGAAAAATATAGGCACCTACTCAATGTCGACTTTTCTTAAAAATTTGTTTGACGCGCTATGGAAATTTTGTCTAATACTTTTTTGTAGGTACCCATGAACTCTACTTCAGAAAAAACTTTCATTTAAATATATTCACTATTGTTGGAGTTGTGGTTGTTTGAAAATTGGACCGTTTTTATGTGGTTTTTCTCACTTTACGAGGTTAAGGAACAACTTTTTGAATATTTTTGGAATTTCTACATATTCTCCATCAAAATACGCGTTGTTTGGCTTTTTAAACATTAAAATGGTCCAATCCGTTCAGGAGTTATGATATTTCAAAGATTCGCATGAAATTTCGGAGATCCATTTCAGGCATCAGATTATATTTTCGGTAAGGAATTTTTTTCTCAAAAGTGGGTAAAATTTCGGGGGTATGTCTATTGACTAAAAATGATAGGAATTATCTTCCACAACTGCAAATAATTTTTCCAGAATGATTTGAAACTTTTTAATTTAATCTTTTAATAACTTTTTAACGAAGCCCGAATCAAGGAATTGATATTCCTGATTTTCGTCTTATTTTTCATCTTATTGAACAACTGCAATCCGATCTCACGTCAACGACATACGATTTGGAATTTCGACTGTCCAGACATTCTTAAAAAAATTTTTTTATTATTAATACGTACGCGTGAGAAAGTGGAATAAAGTATCCCCGATGCACCCGTGACTCCGTCTGGCATTTCTGGGCCCAAACGTATTGAGCGACGAAAAGCGACTGGGCCCTTGGGTCCGCCTATTACCGCCAGGAATGCAGAGAGCCACAAAGGCGTGCACGCATATGTACGATCCCCGGAGCCCCGTACGTGCGGCGAATGCGTGAATTGCACAACCACACGCTGACTCACGGATTTCGTTGGAATAGTAACTAATTATACGAGTCGCCGCGTTATCTCCGT